TCTGTAAAAATTTCAAGTAAGCCGGTACAGTAGAATTTGTGTTAATCGTGGGTTAGTAGTATCGAAAAACACAGTTTTGAGAAAACGCCTTTAAGGAAACAGAGATAGATTATCTTGGCCAAACTGCTATATCTCCGAAATTAATTTAAATTTGGAAAAATATTTTTAAATAGTGAACTGTGAAAATAAAAAATCTAGAATGCCCTCAAATAGTCCATAGATTCCAATATTTATTATTTTACAAATTCCGCTTCTTATTATCAATTTTCAACAATTTTCATACTGTTGAAAACTTCAAACTCCTTTCTCATTGTGTAATAAAACTTTTTTTATATAATATTTTGAGACACTTTTTCTACATATTCTACATGCGGTTATCAAAATTATATCAACATGTTTTTGTTAGTGAATCAGATGTGAAGCTGAATAATTTATAAATTTATATTTTATAATAGAATCTGTTTATTGTTAACTTCAAGTCTATAAAACAAATCATTTGAATTTACTCATTCGTAATTTTGTATGTTTATTACTGCACACAAAGTCATTATTATTTCTTCTTAATGCATAGCAAATAGTCTGTCTGAATTATTGCTGTAATTACGCTACAATGGGTCTAAGACAATACCGAATGCTACATAAATTATTGCCCTCAGTCGTGGTCCTGCGGGTTGCGATCAAACAATTCGCGCCCGAGTGTGAGGCCGGTCAGACGGCTGGACAGTCGGTGAGCCGGCCGGACGCTAATAGTTGTAACTGACCACCTGTTGGCCGATGCCAATGAAAATGTTAACACGCCGTTCTGCATGCTTTCGCTGCACTCGGGTCAACTTCTATTTTGTCACAATGCCAACTGTAGTAAACGATATTTTGGAAGATTTTACATAATAATAGATATTCTGGTTAAAAGCAGAGATGGGAATCAGTGTTACTCTCGTTTAAATGACTTGTCTTTTATACTTTGCTTTTCCTATTTATGGTTTTTTTCATCATTATTTTTGCCAACTACAATATGGAGATGTAAATAATCTGAAAATAACATTAAGAATAACTTTTTTTTGCCAAAAACTGTTTTAGCATTTATGGCTAATAATACATATATAATAGATGTGTATTAACCCATTTATTTAATTTTTATATAATTTAGATACTTATTTTTATCAGGCTACAGTTAGAACTATACGTAATTTAACTATACGTATCGTTAATCTGCTATTTCTCTAATATTTTTTTTACATGATTAAGATATAGTTTATTTATTTAGTCATTGCCATTTTTGCTAATTTTAGAACAACGTTTCGGTGTAATTCTATATTTATTTAAAATTCCATTGTATAATTGTTGGTAAGAAACAAAAAATTTGTGTAATAGTATTGAAATAATTATGATATTAATACATAACCGTAGTGGCGAGGCAATTAAAATGAAAGTCTATTAAAGATTTTATAGTTTATATGACGGAGCATAATTCTAAAGATGATTGTAACTCTCATCAGTTATGCTTATGTTTTTATCAACGCATATTGAAACTATTTGATAAGTCTTCTTTTTCGATTTCTTTTTTCAGTTATTACTTTTATAACAGTATAATTTAAGAAAATCACTTTTGCAATTATTCTTCAAGTATCAATTATCCTCAATAAAAAATATTTAATAGGTGAAATTTCAAATATCTTCATGAATTATTTTTAAGTGTGTTCTTATTTTTCATTACAAAGAAATAAAGTTGTTATAAAATAAATAGTAGCTAATAAAAAAGCAATAAAGAACGAATATCTAGAATTCCGAACTGTTGATGAAAATCGCGTACATTTTAAAATTGATTAGCGCTATTCCAACCGTTCGCAATCATTTGTATACTTCCTTTTGCTCTATAGTTAATTGGAACATCTGCTAATTGATGGCAATTAATTATTTCTTTAATTGGCAATAAGATTCACTTGAATTTAATTGCTTCAATTTCAGATCTTAAATCTTTTGTCAGATCTTATCTCAATATCGAAGTCGAACTGTGAAGCATCGATGTGGAAATTATTGTACGTTGTGTAATTGGAAAGTCTAATAAATTAATTTTGCCGTTCCTTGAGATGTAACATTATAGATACAATTTGTATATAACCCTAGATATTATCGCGCACGTGTAAACACAATTATAATAGGTAATACGAATATATCATAATTAAATCTGAACTGATTAGTACGAGAAATCGACGATTCCCAAACTACAATCCTTATAAAATATGAGGTTTACATTCTACTTAGAATTTTGTAGTTTGCATACAAATTAATACAATTTAAACAATCCGAATGAAAGAAAAAAGGGTTTACATTTGGACTTCAATTTACAAATACGCAATTTTTCGTGTTGTTTATCATTACGAATATCAAAACCGATAGTTTCTGTCTAACTCTAGCTTTGTCATGTTGCGTTATAATTTATTATTTGTTATATATTATTAACGCGTTAATCGCCACGATAGTTAAAAATTTATCAATAAAATCATAATGTATCAAAGAAAAATTTTATTTGTACAAATTTCAGAAAAAATGCCGTTTTGTGTGTCACACATTTTTGATTGATATCGCCCAAAATTAAACTTTATTTCTCCTTTTATGAATCTTCATTGTGCAGCTGTTTCTTCCAACTGATGTTGTTTATTGAGAATAAAATGAGTAATTCAAATAGTGAATGCAATGGGGTCGGTTGTGATTACTTCTGTTCTGTTCTGAAGTGGTTTGCGGTATAAAACATGAAAACGGCTTACGCTCAGTATAATTCGGTTGCGCTTAATTCCATGTCTGTCACGGAAAGGCAATTGGAGTCGGACTGTCCTACTGGCTGATATCTCTAGTGTGCTCGTAGAGTCGGCCCCCATTCCGAACGCCCTGGGGGGACGGCCCGAGCTTGTCTCAGTGCGTTTAATCAAGGCCCGAGGGGGTGACACTCTGGGAACAATCATGATGGAGGTTTTCAAAGGCAATGCTCCTATTCTGTCTGCGTTTGAGGAATTCACTTTACTAACTAGTCAATATTTATAAATAAATAATTAAATGCCTGGTCGTCTTATTAATTCGTATTATTATTTAATTGAATGTTTGAAAAACTATCATAGTCAGTTAAATTTATATTTTAAACTCAAAATAATGCTACATGATTTTATACGAAGTATTTATTATTGCACTCTGATAAATTATTAAAAAGTTATAGTTATTGCTACTACTATTGCTACCTATATAATTTTGGTTCAAATAAAGCTCGAATATTTTATTAGAGTTAACAAATACATTTTCTATTAAGCAACCTCCTACGTTTCAATTTCGTTAGAAAAAATATCTTCACTCTATGAGCTTTTGTTTGATATATATCAGACATATTTCTTTTTTTCATGAATGTGGAAGGGAAAGATCAAGCTCATTACCACAATAATGCCGTATCTGAAAATACGTTTTTCTTCAGTCTTGTCCGACTCGACGTGCGAAGGTTATTAATTATAATGGAAAAGAATGTAATTTTTCATTGCTCTGGGTTCTATTCATAATATAAAATTAGTTCATCAGCGAGGTTGAAATATGAGAATTAATTGTGACAAATAATTACAATAAGAGTTAGAGCTACATAAAGAGTTTCTGCGCTCGTTCTGTGGGTCTGTTTGCGATTAATTACTTAGAAAGCATCGGTGCGACGAATATCTCGGCGTTATTATAAGACGGTGGCTCTTTAGTCCCCAGTCGGGGGGTTGGAGCATGATTAAAAAAGCACAACTTTGCGATAGTAATTAGAAAACCGCAAACAAAGGGATACATATCTCAGTCGACGACATTGCCGCGAGTATTATATGAAAAATGTACGAGAAAAAATTGGCGATAAACAGACGAAGTGTAAGCCGGTGGGGTGTTGGACTTGTACAATGTGTTTAGTGAATTAAAAATCCCAAACAGAAAATTGTGATGATTAAAAAACAAAATTAAAAACAAGGGTTGAATATTTGAGCGCTGTTGCCAGGTTTTAAATACAATTAATAAAAATGAACGAGTGTTAATTATTTTCATAATGTAATATGTGACATTCTTGTGTCAAATAGTTATAACAATGATAATTTTCACAAAAATATAAATACCTAGAAGAGTTCAATACCAGGGGAGACATGTGCATCAATTCGTTTGCTATAAACATTTTAAAAAATATAAAAGCATGTTCCAAAAATGTGGAATCGTCTTAGGCCTATTCTCCCTCTCCGAATTCCCAATGCCGGGCGCGTACCAGGGTCCCATTAGAATAACCCGAATGCGAAGAGACCTAGGGTTTCAGAACCGTTCGTTCCGTTCGCGTCAACTATAACTGAATTTGGGAGTTTATCCCTAGCGCGTATAATATTTATTCCGTGTCACGTTTGTATGTATTTCTGTCAATTCATAAAATTTCCTTTAGCAAACAGTGGCTAAACAAATGTATGGACATATTTCATTGAATATATTTTATGGCGAAAACTTTGTGAAATATATTTGTGGAGGTAGTAAAATTGTAGTTTGCAAACAAATTTATTTTGAAAGCATTTGAATGGGATATATAAAAGTAAATTTTATATTATATGAAAATACGTGATGGCGATTAAAATGAAGCTGAATTGTTACAAATTCTTATTTGGTTTTTAAAACATTCACTTCTGCTTCGATAACACAGTCTAGATATGAATTATAAGTAATATTACGCCCTTTGACTTGAACTATTATGTTTTTGTAGACAATGAGATTTAATTGAGATTTTTAATTCCATACTAATAACTTAATTTAAGTGTATCATTATTTAAAGTCTCTGGAATGTTATGTTTTCGTGAATATGTCAAAAGAAAAGAGAATACATACAGATTGCAATAAATATATTATTAAATATGTTTCCATATTTTCATTGACTCCGTTTAAGTATAAGTTTATACTATTTACTGTTACCAGTAATTTTTTTAGAACGAACTATTTTTAAATATATCTATTTTAATTTGCAGGGTGCCTCTTCGAGCCTGGTCGTAAAGTTTGCAGATACCGAAAAAGAACGCCAGTTAAGACGCATGCAGCAGATGGCCGGAAACATGAGCCTCCTCAACCCTTTCGTATTCAACCAATTCGGTGCTTACGGAGCTTACGCCCAGGTAACATTACAATATAATTACATAATAGGATATCATTGATGCTTTTGTCATTTTTTCTTCTTACAATTAGTAAAGTTTAATATGAACGTGAGCTAGCTAACCCTAGTCCCGGGTTCGACATCGCCTAAGCCTTACATCAGGCAGCACGATGTCAAATTTTCATTTGAGATTATAAATCTCAAATAAAAATGCCTTTTGTAATCATAGTTGCAACATATACTCATAACTGTTAGACAATAGATCTAATATAGCCACGCATAAAAAATGTTTAACCGACGAACTGCCTCTTCGGAAAAGCTTTAGGTCTTAAACAAACAACTTACAGAACAAGATATTTCAAGAAGTTTTGATTGCTCTCGAAACAACAAAAATATTTATTAAACTTACGTTTTACAAAATTTAAATTTGGTTTACTAACATACTTTTGTCGATACTATAGAATGAGATCTAGGTGGCATTGATTCCATTTTTGGTAAATTTTAGCATATAAAGTAATATTCTGCTGAACTGTAGCAAAGGTCACGCATGTTACAGTTAAGTGGTTAATTATTTCTATTATTTATATGGGCTTTTAAGATGATTTAATTGAACTGATTTTTTTTTTCTTTTCAGCAACAGCACGCAGCCCTGATGGCCGCTGCGACAGCGCAAGGCACTTACATCAACCCGATGGCAGCTTTGGCGACGCATATACCTCACCCCACACTTAATGGCATGGCCAACCCTGTGGTACCACCGACATCAGGTAAAAATAATGTAAAAGTACTCTTAATGTAAAAAAAAAAAACAAAAACAAATTTCAGAAAAAATGATTCAAACTGCGATAGTTATTTTCTTCTATCTCTTCTTTCAGCTTGCAAAAGCTGTTCACTCAATGATTCAATTTTGAATAAAATACGTTAGAGATAAATAGAAAATAATCAATTAGCTGTTAAGTTTAATGTAAAATATATTAATTTAAATATTTATTGGAAAATTGTACCCGTAGTTTAGATATAAGCTATTCAATTTTTCATAAATAATGAATTATTTCATATTGCTTGTTATGAGAAATTTTCTCCTCGTTTTTAAAGTCAAACAATTCAAAAGCAAAGCATTCGTATTATTTCTTACGCCTAAAGATTAATATTTAAAATTGTACAAAGAATTATGAGCTCTCATATTTGGTAATAAACATGTTGTTCGTATAAAAATCATGAAAATATGATGTCGGATTAGTAGAAAATTTCCTGCCTTTTCCTTTGCGTAGAAAAAGACGTAAATATAATCCTGGGCAAGAAAAACAGAAAGAGATTTGTTTTTCGTTTTCTCGACTGAAGATTTTCGCGATTTGAATAAACACAGCTTAAGAAAATACAAGACGCTTGCAGGATGAGTCGTTCAAGCCTTGGGGCTTCTTCGGTACTAATGAAGTTCTTTGAAAGCTAAAAATATATAAAAAAGTTGGGCTAATTGCAAATGAAGTTAGATTCATTTTTAATTTAGTCGTTGATTGTTGATCATTCTAAAATTTTGGGTACATATAAGATATTTAATATTATTATTAAATGCATTCAGACCGAATTAAAGAATTACGTCAAGTTTGAATATAGCTAAATTTAAATGATTAATTTTAAACAAATATTTTTAGGATCAGGTCCTGTGAATGGTGCTATACCTTCATTGCCATCACCAACAATGCCAACATTTAGCATGGCTGCTCAAACACCCAACGGTCAACCTGGTGGGACAGAAGCTGTTTATACAAATGGCATTCCCCAGACATATCCTGGACGTGAGTTTTTTCATAGTTTATAAATTATAAATATAAATAAAAAACTATCTAACTAAATTATTTATTATAACTTCATTAGCTATAATTATTGTAATCAATACTAACTATCTCTCTTATTACATAGTGTCTACTATTTCTAATTCTGATAACCAACCCAATCTTAAGTTTTATTTATTAACAAGTTGGTTGATAATTATGCAAAGAGTTTTTAAAAGTCGGTTACACTTTTTGCTATCGTTTATAGTGCTCTTTTCATTTTAAACTTATTTTTTTTATTCAGACGCCTTACACCTTTCGATACCAGCCCAAGGCCTGACGAATGGTGACGCCGCTCTACAACATGCCGCTTACCCTGGTATGCAACCCTATCCTGGTGTCGGTGAGTACTAAAATCATCCCTTGTTACAAGCCTCATTTTAGCTCACAACATCCTATTCCTATAAATGTATAGATGGTGCTAGTTGTGTACAAGCTATTTTGAAACCGTCAATATTTATAAATATTACAATATTTTAACGTTTATGTGTTCAGAACGAATGCGTTTTCAAACTACAACATTGAAATGGAAACATTATCTAGATTTTCTATCATTATTGTAATTGGAAACGCATTGTGTCATATATATATATATATATATATATATATATATATATATATATATGCCTAATTGTTATGAATTATTAACCATAAACGTATTTTGATTATCATATGTTTATATTTATATACATTATATATCATTACTGTTTGGTATGGCTGTTACTGGCAAATTGATTGTTTTAATAAAATTTTAACAATAAGATGTTCAGCACCAAAATTTTCTCATAAGTTATACATGTTCAATACACATTTATGTTATGGATAACATATTAAAAAACAACCCACTACTTGAATGCTCAATTAGAGAAAAATCAATCGAGAAATCAATTATTTTAAAGTTATTATTGATGATAATATATGTAATCTTACTAGGTTTAAATTATTTTGACACATATAAAATCATTGTTTTGGTAATATATAATCGGTTATTACAACATAAGATTGGAGATAAAGTGATTTGTAGTTTAGGCCAACCTTCGGATAAAATAGATATGTTATGTTACGCGTCTTTTAAGTCGAATAAATGTTTGAATTGGTAAGCACAAACTCAGAAAATACTTTGTGTTTTGCTAGATACAGCGTTTTATTTTATATCTACTTCTAAAACCTAACCTCAAAATGTCACAAACGTTTGTATACTTCACACTTCTGTTGTTATATACTTTTTTTAAATTTTTATTCATAACCCGCATTCACATTATTTAAATATAATTATAGATAGTAATTAGCCAAGTGGGTAATTGTTATTTTATACAATTAATTGGATCAAGTTAATAGGCGATAATTTTTCAAGTCTTCTAAATTCTGGTGTAAAGAGCACCGGAGCAACATCTGAATTAGTGTGATTTGCTAATTCGTGATGATGATTAGTGATTTTTGTTTTTATAAAGTCTTTTATATAAAGCACATTCCGATTATCACGCAGAATTTTCTTGCTCACAAACAAGGGTGTACCTGTAATCATTCTGAGTACTTCTGATTGCCACAATAGAGCAACCCGGAGTTGCTCTGAACCTCTATTCCGTATGACCAGATAGAAAATATTTTCGTTTTATAGCCAAGATTTTGTTTTCGAGTGCTGATTTTGAATTATGTCCGATAAGCCAATGATGTTCTCTAATTTTGGATTTGATAGTTTGTGATGTGGTGTTTTCTTGTTAGTCTGCGGTCTAGATGCATACCTAGATATTTAACATAATCAGCACTTGGCATTACATGGTCAGAAAATGCACTCCTGGGCATGATAACATATGCGTGAGGTAGAATTGTGACATTTGTGTCTTTTGGAGATTTTGGAGATTAGTAGATTTAGAGTAAAACGTGTTATCGCACTCCAAAGACAGTTTGCGACTACCAGCTCATACTATTATTCAACATAACATGACTTGTATTTTATGCGTAAATAAACCCTTTCATTTTGTTTGAAAACTATTAGTTCATATGTAAATGTTGGAAATTTTACTATGCAAACATTACAAATTATTAAGCTATGTATACAGATAAATTTTAATCAACTTTACAATGCTCAAAAAAATTCTAATTTTGATGTCATCCAATTGAAAATCACTGGTAATAGAGATTGGTCTAACGTTAAACAATTTAAACCAATATAAATTTGAACAGACAATTTTTTCCTAACACGCAGACATGTTGAAACCACCTAAAGATCTCTCATTTATCTTCAATTTTATGTTGACTGTGTACTATTAATGAGTGTTTCTAAATCGGGCGTTGATGTGTGTATGTTGTCGATGTGATTTTGTATTGATATGTCGTGTATTTTGATTGTTTTTCTTTCTGTTTCTATCAACTCGCAGCGTATCCAGCGGTATACGGGCAGTTCGCACAAGCCATACCGCAACCGCTCTCCGCGGTAGCGCCGGCACAGAGAGAAGGTAAGAAGCCATGAGCCGCGTCACGAGAGCGCAAATTCAATTAAATAGCCCGACCAAATTGTTCTAGAAATCTAGATCATCTTCCAAAAATCCATCGAGCCCAAGTGCTTGAGAATTGAATTAATTAAATTAGAAGCTTTTATGCATGGTAACGTTATTCTTAGTGTAGCGATGATACCTTCTGATATTATCAGATGCTAGATCTGGATATCAATCTGTATTAAAAAAACGTATGCTTTTGTTGAAATAGAGCAATTGAATTTATGTATTAGTGAAATTTGCAAACTTTTTGTCGAAATTATTTTGCAAACTTCAATTATTTTCCTTCAGTTTTCAATTAGTGAGGAGGAATTATACTGCTTGCATGATTTTAATTGTGCATGATTAGATTTCGTTTGTTGTTCAATTTGTATCTTCAGATGTTGTTAAATTTAAATAATTTTATATGTGGTGTGTTTTTATACTAATAATATATAAATGTTATTATTTTTGTACCAAATATATTAGATTTGTTTTTGCTTTATAATTAATATGCAAAAACGTATTTCTCACCACAGGTTATAAATATCTCATCATACGCTTCTGCATATTATTTTAAATATAAATTTTTTGTATATACGTATAGCAACTTAACACAGGTTTGCTTAGAAAAGATGTACTAACATTTATTGTTGATGTTATGCCTGTAATGTTGGTGTATTTATTTATCATTTGTTATTACTATTTGTAATTATGATCATACATAAATTATCCGATGATGATTGGAAAGTTATTAATCAAAATGTATATTTTACAACATTTTTTACACACAGAGACTTTTTCCATATCACTTTATTTGCTAAAATTTAGTGCAAAATAATATAATGCACTCAGAATTTTTATATATATTATACTGTTGCTCACTAATTTATACAGTATAAATTTGCATGTTATTATTTAGCACTTACGATTTACCCGTCATATCATAGTATAGTTTATTATATGATAAATAATATTCATTTTGGTTTATAATATTGTTAAAAGCACAAATTTCAACATTAGCCATATTTAATTAATCTTTAAAATCTATTTCTTATATCATTCAACGTGTATTAAAAATATATATTCTCAGTAATGATTTAATAAATCTTGCAGCAGTAACTACTTTCAGTACCATGCTAAACTAAGTACCCTGCTAATCCATCAAGCTTAATTTTTGATACTTATAATTATTTATTATTGCCCTCAAAAATCAGCAAATACACAAGTTAGCTAAAATATATATGTATAAGTAAAGTATACGATTTGATCTATTTGTTCCGAAGAATAACGAATTTCGATGTCATCTTTGTCCTCCCATTAATTTTAAGGAAAATCATGATAGTGTTCTCGGCGGAGTTTGAAGTTTCTTTAAAGAGTTTCTGATGTTTCCAGGATGCTCCATCTCGGGGCCAGAGGGCTGCAACCTGTTTATCTACCACTTGCCCCAGGAGTTTGGTGACGCCGAGTTGATGCAGATGTTCTTGCCCTTTGGAAACGTCATCAGCTCAAAAGTGTTCATCGATCGAGCAACAAATCAAAGCAAATGCTTCGGTAAGAATAAAAAATGAAATATATAACCAACTCGATTAATGAGTAGATATACATGTTTGTTTATTTATATCTTCGCAAGCAATTAGATTAGACTCATGTAAAATAAAATTAGCTTATAAAACTATTAATTATCAATTAAGTGCAACAACATGCTGAGCTTTGACTTTCAAATTCAAAACCATAGATGATTATAATTATTAAATCAAATTCCTGTAAACCTGGATTAAAATTATTTTATAAAACTGAAATTTTGTAATCAATTTTAACAACTTTTTAACTCTGAACTTCAAATTTACAATGAATATATGATTATGGGTGTTCCACGGTGTAATGATTGAGCTCATGGAGTCTTGTGGACGGGGTCGTGAGTTCAAACCCCGCTCTGGACAACCTGACATTATGGAGTTGCAATGTTCCCTTTTAATTAAAAATAAAGATCAAAAATATGTTTCCAATTGAAAATATGTCCATATCGGACAATATGGTCTCATGCTAATAAATCGCCCATACTAGTCTTTTCTGAATCGAGTAGTATGGATATGATTATAGTAGCTTACAAATTTTGCTTCTGGAACCAGCACCTAACAAACTAAAGAGCAAATATTATTGAACTCAAAAAAAAAAAAAATTAAATTACAGCTGGTACTCAGACGTTATAAATAAAAGCTTTCAAAAATATTTAATATGAAAAATAAATTTGTGTTGCTGCATTGAGAAAATTAAAGTTTCTCTACAATTCTATTTTTTATTCAGGTTTCGTATCCTTCGATAACCCGGCCAGCGCCCAAGCAGCGATCCAGGCAATGAACGGTTTCCAAATTGGCATGAAGAGACTGAAGGTCCAACTGAAGAGGCCAAAAGATGCCAATAGGCCGTATTAACCCACGTACCAATTGTTTAAAAAGGAGCCGGGCCACAGGACTTAGCGCAAACGCGCCTAATCTCTATTCCGTACTCCATTGGTTTCACGAAGTCGGCTGACTTTGCTATTTCTTACTATGAGAGACCCAGGAACGGTATGGGATCGTTAATAGAATCAAACAATTAAAATACAAATAATTATATAAATATATATCACTAAAATTATTATTAACTGAAATGCTGGGATAGTCGGAAGACGGAAGGAACGTGAATTATCAATAATGTAATCACGTATTTGCGCCATTAAAAGAAATTTAGTATACTCTAGGTAGATGAAACTTAGAAATATGCTTACTATTAATACATATTATTAAGATAAACTGAATTATTTATAAATATGTATTTATATATCTACATACATATAAATATGTGTATATATACATACATATGATAATAATATATATGATAATATATCTTGTGTATATACTTATATATAAAATTGCATTAGCTATTAATTACAAATACTTGCCAAATGTGGAAAACGGCAGATCTAGTCAGTTGCGCGAGCTAGCCTGTCGCGTTTAGTCCTGAAGCCACATGCCTGCACAATGCAAATAACTAAACAATTTGGTCAATTCTTTGCAAACCTATCGAATAAGCCGTTATATGTGTTGAAATTATTGTACAAGGACTGTTCTAGGTAAGATCTTTCGCCATTTGTATTATTTTGATTAAACATAATGCAAAATATCTTGCTTTACCGTAACGATGATCAATGTCATTGATGTATTACTATACACTATACATTTAAATTTACAATATGAAGTTTAAATATCCGAAGCAGTACAACTTTAATTCGAAGAAATGTTTCTTTCTCCAGATCAGGTAACCAAAGATTACTTTATTATATAGAGAATAGATCATTAGATAAATTACGCAGTATATCATATTTAGGAATAGATTTGACATTTGAATTTTGAAATAGTTTGCACATATTTTCACTAAATATCTATATAATAATTAGAAGCCTTTTCAAATTCATTATGATGCATTTGTTTTCATTTTCTTATTTTCACATAATTAATTCTATTATTTGAAGAAGTATATTGACAAAAACAGAAGTGTAAGTAATATATAACTGATCACATTGTTTTGCAGAGCTAAACAGTATTTTAGCCAGTAATATAATAAGAAAATGTACTTAATACATTTACCAGGTTTTTCAATGAATGATTTTGTACATTTTATGACTAACAGCAAATGAATTATATTATCATATCATAAAGTATGAGTTTTTGAGCTTAAAATTCGGCACATATAACGGTTAGTATAATAGTTTACGAGAATTCGACACTAAAACTGTAAATATAATGCGGGATCAGATTTTGTTACTGTAATTCTAGGGCACAAAACAAGACTATATTATATTATATTCAATTAATGGCCCTCAAGTTGTCGTAGCATATCTGGATCACATTTATCGGAATAATATAATGAAATATATAAAAAAATATATATTTTTGAACCGCATCTTGGGAATTCCAAATGGGCTGTGATGAAACATACAAAATGTCAATGTCGTGTTGATTGTACAGGCCGTTTGTACTCTCGTTTGTCCCGTCAATGTTATTCGGTGTTTGAAATTCAATGTTAAAAGACAATGTGATGAGAACCTAATGAAGCTTCTATTTGCCGATCATGTCCCGGACTCTTGTGTACAATAAGATATGTTCATACAAAGCTTTATTCCGGGGTCAATCGCACTTGTAAAATATAAATTAAACTAGAGCTAAAATTTTTAGTCAAAGAGCTAAATCTTTCGTTATCTTGTACAGGCTGTTGAGTTCAGTGTTGATATCATTATTATAAATATTATCTTGATGCATGTGAGTGAAAAACGTTTATTTTCTATTAAGCAAATTGTATGAAAAACTCTGATAATTAAAATGTGATTTTGCATTTATGTAGATACATTCATATTTAGTTTTAATGTAACTCAATATTTATTGTCCGCATGTTCAAAACAAGGACAAAAAAGGTGCAGGTATTTGGTTTAAATTATAGTGGGATTCAATAGAGGTATTATTTAATAGAGTAGCAGGACTAATCCGAACAGCGCTTAGGCTCATCCTTTAGATAGCAGCTATCATAAATCGTAATATATACATAAATTAAATAAATAAATAAATATATATAAATATATCACTTCACTAAAATATTATACATGCATTAAAATATTTATCATCATAGAGGTATTGTTAAAATTTGTACGAAGTTTCAGAATTTATTTGAAATATGTTTCATAATCCATTTAGAAATCAACAAGTACCAAATATATATATAAAAATTAAAAAACAAATATAATTTTTAAATAAACTTTTAGATATTAGAATTATTCAATAGGTAGATATATCTATCTATAAAACAAGAATTCCTGCTAAAATTGAATTTATCCTCATTTTGCTAGTTTTCACATTATTACTTCACATAAATATACGCAAAAATAACGTAATGAACATTAATAAAAAATAGTATTAAGGTTCTGAAGAATTATATTTTATTTCAAATGGTGATTTTTGTTTTTCAAAAGTATTAGCAATCATATATTTTCACAAAAAACATTTAAAGTAATGTTATTCGTGCTTGACTAATTTTACACCAGACAACCATTCAAAAATATTTCTATATTTTCTTAAATTCTCTCTACTTCGTGTAGTTTTTTTTTTGGATAGTGACTTGAACTGATTGAATTTGTACAATTTTTTATTTATAAACCATAGTGAATTTTTGTTATTTTTGGAGTGACTAAAGAGCCATTTGTTTCCAGATAATTTTAGAAATGAACTGATTTTAAATTAAAAAACTATTCGAAATTTATGTTCCTACGTTAGAAATACATTTAAACGACGTGATACATTATGATGGAATATACATTGACTGCAACAGTTGTATTAATTGTGCCAAAACAAATTCAACGCCGTTGTCTGTGAGTGTATGTCCCTGGTCTTAGGCCAGAAAGAAATCTTGTAAATAGTTAAATCTAGCAAAGTGAGGACCTTAGGTTAAATTCGCTGCGTACGAGTATGCACTTGACTGTTAAAAAGTTGGGCACATGCAAGGATGTACGACGCTATACATATAAATATGTAGAGAGAAATTTAGTTATAATTTTATTTTTGTTAAAAAAAGGCTTTATTCGCGATATCAACGGAATTCGTAGGGCTCTTGAGAGCTGTGAAATGCATATGAAAAATCTAAAGTCTGGTTGACCCTCCGGGTCGATTTAATTCTCGACTTTGTGTGATCCGACATCACTAATTTTGTACCAAAGACAATATATAACATTTTGATTATTGTACACATCAATGGATAAACTATTTTGTATATTTTCATGTAGTTCTTTCATTGATAACTTGATGATACATTAATGCCATTAATGAGATGGTTAAAGCTTAATATTATGACCAGCGGAACAATTTTTATCGTCAGAATTTAATTAAATAATGCTATATATATACAAACCCTGAAGGCTTTGAAAATTGTTCCTATGATCATATAAAAAAACTAGTCAAAAAATTGCAAATGATAAAAAAGGAAATTTAGTTATTAATATTTAAATGAATTATAATATATAACATTCTAATAGTTTTATTTATATAAGAACTAATATATCTTATAAGGTTATTTACACTTACATAACATTTACACTTACGCCAAAAACCATGCCATAATTTGCAATTATTATCTATTACGCCAATGTTTTTAGAATTACTTATTAAAAATTACTTATTAGATAACATGTATAGAAAAATTATATAATGAGTTTATTAAATAGAATTGCTTTGTTAATAATATTATTAAAACGCTTGATACGTATAGAAATTAACCAAATCCAAATTAGCTATTTTGCTTGGATATTTGCTATTACTTTCTTAGCTTCACGAAGAAAATATTCCGGGGAATAAGAAATTTCATTTCGAAATAATGAGCGACAAGATTTTTCTTCTAACATTTTTTGTGTTTGCGAGAAAATGTTAGAACTCAAGCAACAATCAATGTAACCTACGCCATCCGGCGCAATTTTTTTGGAATCACAAAAGATCTGTTTGAAGTAAAATCTTGCCTTGTCTTAATTATTCCGACATTCGTTTTCAGTTTTTATTCTCGGGACTAAATAAAAAATGATCTTTACAACTCGAATCAGTATATTATCTAATCTAGATATTATTCTAAAAGCATTGCAATATCTCGGCATGTCATACACATACAACACACTATTAGGAAATGTATTCTAGTTATGTAAAATAAGTTCTAGCTTTAAGAATACATATTATAAATTAAGAATTAGGAAACCAATGCATGGTCATTTTCTATCTAAGTTTTAACAAATGATTATTAATTTTGTTTGCAAAATTATGTTCACTTTAAGTGCAATATATAAATTTCAATATATCCTTTTCCCAGACTGATATTTAATAATGTTTTAAGTTAGAAAATTATTATGCTGATTTCTAATGTGTGAGTCTAGTCACTCCAAGCGTCCGGAAATTTTTGCAAAAATCAAATTTTATTAAACGGGCTGGTGCGATCGCAATTTGCCGCCTGATGGATTCATTAGCCTGGTGACAATTGACCGTCAGGCCGCAAATTCGGACGCTGCCATCTGACTTGGAGCCCAAAGTTATTTTCGTTAAGAAATCACAAATGACCTTTTGCCTCTGCGAGTAGAATACAGGGTACATGTCTTGGAATTATTATTAATATTTAATAATAATTGTCATATATCGTAAATGTGTTTTATAAACGTGAAAAATATATTAAAAAATCATTTAAATTTATACGAAACAACAGTATCGGTGCGAACGAAAACGAATCATCGGTGATGTTTCTAATAAGATATTTATATAGAGATAAGATAATAAATGCTCGCAGTGTCATCTGATGTCGAAAACGGGAACTAACTGACATGCGATATGAATGGCTTAACTGTTATTGGTCATGATTTTACAAAGGGAGTTAATATCGAAATTGTCGAATTTTTAAATATTTGCGCTTATATACTAGTCGATTCTAAGGACGCCCGGATTTCCGCCAAGGGTTTAACTTTAGCTAATGTTTGGGCGGAGTTGACCTCAGGCGGAAATCTGATCAGTGTCAAACTATTAATATCTCTTAAACAAAAGCACATTTTTTTAAAACAAATATATTATAAAATAGTTTTAATGTATATGATACCTCTTATAGTTATTATAGTTATAATGAAAATTAATAAAAAATATATATAGTTGCGCATATATCGTATTTATATATTCAAATATCAATATTGAAGCATTTAATAATAAATATTTCCTTAATTCAGTAGTGCGTCTGCCTTAGTTCAGACCACCTGGAATAATAGCACTATGTTTACTAACACTTCGATAGGGCGCAGGGTAAGCGCTATTCCCTGTTCTGTATTAAACAATATCATTAACAATACTGATTTTATAAAAGAAATTTAGCAACAATATTCAGGAAATTTATTCATCCGGAATCGCCTAGCCGCATTCACGTCCCCGGAATTCTCACCTGGGTCTGAATCCGGCGGATGTGAACGCTGCTTTAAGCGCCGATGATTCTATGAGAATTAATTAATTAATTAATATTAGTATGAAATATTTAGTATCTTGGGAATGTAAATCACTTATCTCAAATGCAATTGATAAAATGGGCAGAACGGACATTATGTGCAATGCCGCTTTTGTTTTCTGGATTTCACCTATTTTAGGGCTTAGGTGGGACCATATTTATAAAAAAATTAATCAAATCTTAAATAATATTTTATTTAGATTGGTATTATAAAACTGTTAGGCGTTTATGTAAACACATAAATTTTTCCGATCGATTTGACTAAAAAGCAATTATAATTTACTACTGTGGTACAAAATATTGATTATGTTTATACTATTACAGCTGCAAAAATTGTATAATTGAATCTACAAGCTCAAATAAATAATATCAATATATTTATCTATATGATTTGAATGGTGTTTTTATTTACTTTGCGTAATTTATTCGATGCAATTTTTGCAGGTACCGAAGAAGTTCTCTTGAGGATATACAGAAGATATCTGATTTCTGAAATAAAACTATAATATTTTATATATTTCAAAACTTTATATAAATCCAATTACTTTTTATATTATACTTGAAATTAATTTTGTTCTAGTTGCTGGCATTGATTAGCAAATGGTTACACATTACTTATTAAACAAGCATTATGGGCTTGCTTGTTCATGGTCAAGAAAATACAATACCATGGCAATTTTAATAAAAAAGCAATAGAAAAGAGCGGCGATTATAAGAAATATTTGCATACAAATCGTATATGAAAATAAAATTTTCACAATGATAAAAAATAGATATTCTCGAAATCATATTTGAAATTAATAATTATTATTCTGACGCCATTTACCGGTTTTGCGTGCATTGTGAGGTCGTCGAGGTCATCGTTCACGATTTTATATATGTTATATTTGGGTATGTAGAATCGCAAAGTGACGGTATGAGTTATTTAGGACTTGCATACCAAGGATTTCTTCCTTGTCCGGATTTAACTATGGATCGTTACATCGGTTTACCACCGGACGAAGAAAATTATTGGAATGGGACATTATCTTTAGATAATTATCCTATATATCATTTATAATTGCTACAAGTTTTTACAAAAACATTGTGTGTAGACTGAAGTAGAGACGTGAGTTCAAACCCCCGCTTTGCACAACCTGATATCATGTCGTATTGATATCAATTTTTACTTGTAAATATGATTATAAATATGTTTTCTATCAAAAATAGCCCATTTCGGGCCCTGCGTTGTGAAATGCAATGGAAAATCTCTCACACTACTCTTCCCTGGACCTGTCCTAGAGCAGAGCATCCTTTATTATTATAGTTATTAATTCATTGAATTTGATTTCGCAATAAAACGACATATTGATATAAAAATCTTTCATCAATTTAAGGATCGCAAGTTAGGAAGAATTTATAATTATGAAGGCAATGTCTTCATTTTTGAAATATTCAAACGACCACCAAACATTGATTCTGTGCCGTTCCATGTTCAAGGTGGCGAAGGAAAACCTTTTCCTAATGTTGTTTCTCTGAAGTTAAATGGGCTGGAGATCTGCAATGATGCGAAAAAGGTATTTTAATGTCTATGAACACTTTTTTAAATTTTGAATCTCCTCTTGTGCTTGAGACAAAATCTATTACTGGATGGGAGCTGAAATAATTTTGCTGTCGTTGTTTTGTATTTTTTCAGTTCAAACCGACGTTATTAGGTTATGCAGACGTAGCAGGAGATTTAAGTAATTTGAATGAAAATTCGGACAGAGTGGCTACTTCAAAAGCCAGTTGTGGTATTAGAAAAGTTGTGCACAAACAACTAATTATTGAAGGGCATGATTCAAAAGCTGGTGATTGGCCCTGGCATGCAGCGATTTATAAGTAAATTCATTTCATTCTTATCCAAATATTATTAATTGTATATTAAATATATTAGGCAGTTAAAAAAAATAAAAATCCGTAATAAAATTCATTCAACATTATTGTGTGATATTCCTCTGAAGGCGATATTTCGACCGTTGTTTATTTTTATAATTGTGTTTTTATTTATTAAGTGTACTAAGTTTTTAGAATCACTCTTATAGTATTATGAGTGTATCAAAGTTCATTTATTCAATATTTTCAGATACAATTTAAATAAAAATTCGAGAGAATACATATGTGGCGGGTCATTAGTATCAGCTTCAATTATCATGACAGGTGAATATATTTAAAGACGTTGTTTTACTATACATTGCTCATGCCCTTATTTTGTAGCCGCTCATTGTGTCACAGAAAGTGGTAGACCAGTCGTTCCCGGAAGATTAGTAGTTGCTTTAGGAAAACATAACTTGCTCGGATCAGATATAGGTAGTCAGGAATTGACAGTAAGTAAAAAAATAAATTTTAAAATATATTTTAAACACAATAGTATTTTGATTAAATTATAGATTTTTGAAGTGATAGTTCATCCAGATTTCAATGCAACAACTTTGGCAAATGATATAGCGCTTTTAAAACTATCAGCTGAAGCCAGTTTTTCGTCATATGTTCAACCCATATGTTTATCAAATAACGCACCAAGTGAAGATATTAGCTCTCTAGTTGATAAACCAGGAACAGTAAGAAAATTTGCAGAATTACTATTTTAATTATAATTTAAAATTGTTCATAACAACACACAATAGGTTGTTGGATGGGGTAGATGGGGTTTTGGAGCAAATGAAAAGCTGTCTGGTGTACTTCAACAAGGCACCATGCCAGTAGTTTCAGTAACATCATGCTTAGCTAGCAATCCGCAATTTTTTTCTATGTTTCTCACGGATAAAACATTTTGCGCAGGATATAGAAATGGTAAATGACTAAAGATCTAAATTAATTTTAAAAATTTACATCAAAACCTGATTTTCTTGTGTAATAGAATATTAAGTATGTTCTTTTTTAATTCGATTATAGGTACATCCGTATGTAACGGTGATAGTGGAGGTGGTCTGTTCTTTTCCAAAAATGTAGAGGAAGATTTACAATGGCATATTCGTGGGATAGTGTCTTTAAGTGTTGCTAAAAATAACGCTCCAATTTGTGATCCTGAACATTTCGTGCTTTTTACCGATGTGTCACGATATATCAGTTGGATTAACTCTTTTATTACACCAAAATATTAGTTTAGTGAATTATCGTAACAAGTTTTTATATAAGTTTAATTGAATAATTGGAAATGAAAAAATGCATATAAGTAAAAGATTATTTAATTACAATTATAATGCAGTTACATAAATAATGGTTATATATTATATGTTACTGATACTTATATCATGTATGCAATAAATGCTATAGTTATTTATAATGATTGCATAAATAAGATATATATTGAATATAATAAATATCAAGATAAACCCTGCACAATTCACGATTTTTTTTAAACTCATTTTACTCAATTTGAAAATATCATATTTTTATTTTAGCTCTTCACGTTTTTTCTTAAATCATATTTTACTCAATTTGAATGCAATAAATATGTTACACTTTTTTTAACGGGATGTAAGATGTAGTAATAGCAAAAAAATCGTAAAAATAATATATTCTGTACTCTATTATTTGAGTATTTGGTTGATAATTAGGCAATGGGTAACATATATAATGGTTGTTGAAAAGGTAAGTTCCATTTTTTGCAAAATCTTAGCACATCGCATTTAACTTTTTATTGTATAACTTATAATAAGTTTATAAGATTGCCTTGGAATTAGAGGGCGAGAGTCCCGGTGAAAAATAACGGTGATAATTATCCTTAAATTCTATAAAAAATAACAATTAAAGGTTCTAAAAACATAAGTGGTTAGTGAAAGAAGGTTAACCATTGATCAATAGTATAATTTGCTTAAATGTTTTCAGATTTGAATGTTCCATAGATAAAAGAAGAGTATAAATACGCTCGACAATAATTTTGACATATGTTGTTGTAAGGCTAGTTTAGAGGTTTCGAAGATTTTATAAAAAAGTAAAAAAAATGTCATTTAGTGGACAAAAATTTTCATTATACATACGCACATCAAATTATCAGATATTTTATAGAGATTTTAATAATAAGTACAAATTTTGTTTACATTTCTATGGGTTTCATACCAGCGTTCATCTGTTGAAGTGCAACGAGACGCTTACGCGCTTTGATATTTCACGTCTACGTAGCTAACGCAGCTTCCAAAATATTTCAAAATATGAAAAACATCGAAATTTGTACAAACGCCAATTTTTAAAAATATATCAATATTCTCAAAAATCAAATTTATTCAAAGTTTAAAAAAAAGTTGAATCTTTTTTAAAAATGTTATTTCTTGGTACGGAAAGTTCCAGCAATTTGGCAATATCAATTACAATTGCATCAATTGTAAAATAGATTTTCGTGAAGTAACATGTGGTCGCATTAATTAAGACTTTTTAATTAAATCCTTGATTGGATTTTGTTAATTTGTACATCAAAACGTGTAATTAATTTATTAAGTCAATTTGATATAATAAATTTATCGTAAAACGTTAATTAAAAGCCAAAAAATTGGTATGTTTGGAAGTGCCTAGGTACCTTGAATAGTTTGATAAGGATATAATATTTTGAATCAATTTTATAATTAAACAATTTATTTACAGTGTCATTGTATCCTTTATTTATATATATGCAATTGTAAAATGTATAATTTATATATGTGCTTTTGTAGGTTATACTTGAGTATTTCCACTACATATTTGTTATTATCGAAGTTTAAGTTCACGAAAGTCTCTAAAGTCGTGTCGTGTATTGTGTAAAGACTTTACTCGGACAATTGCAACAGATCAAATAGACTTGTAAAATACCAAAGTTACGGCCTTACGACAAGTAGGCTAATTTTAAAAATTCATCAAAGTTTGAGAAAATGAGTAGTTTTTTTGACGTTTGATAAAAATAAAATTAGATGATTTAGTTGGTATAATGATAGTGTACTTAGTCTTGAACATAGTAAACCATTAAAGTCCTCCGGAAACTGGTTCAATTATAATTATTGATTAATTAAAATTATTGATTTTTGAAAATTTGCTTTTAGAAAATGCTCCGAGTTAACGTGTTCGTTCGTTCGTTTGCAATGATGTCTAATTAATCCACTCGGATACTTATAATCACTCATAAATTAATTTATTTTTTATTGATTAAGTCGACTATTTACACATATCGGGAAGTTCATGTAACTTGCCTCAAGGCTAAATACCAAACCAACTAGTTTAGTTTGTTTTTGTTCTATTTGATATTATTCCAAAAATTTTAATATACATTTATATTATTTAGATAAAGTTTTTTTTTTATAAAGTTGCTTTTTACATATATATTCTAGACAGATGTAGTTGTTAACTAGTTATTGATTCAATGAGCTCTTCAGGATGTAATGTTTGTATACAAATGGCATACCAGAATGAGGTATGTTAGATTTGAGTATGTCTACTCTGATAACAAATACTTAAATTGATAACGAATAAAAAATATTATTAATTAAATATTTAACTTAGAAATGAGATTTGTGGTATCACTAAATAAATTTGATGTTTGATTTTAAAGATCTCTCTTGGATCATTTTTGTATATCAATTTAAATGTTATAACTTGTGCACGGTAAGACTGACTTGAGTCTAAATAAAAATGTTATCTTATATGAATGTAAATAAAATAGAAAAAGTTTGTCAGTATATTTAAAAATGTATTTTCATTCTTTAGATATCACTTCAAAACGAAACATTTTTTTTAGTTATATAAGTTTTTAACAACTCTTGAAATACTTGCAGTATAAATTAATAGAGTACTTACTCTAAAAAAAATCGAGCATCAATATAGATATAAAGAGATGTTATTTTATTTAAATTATAACGGATTTATTGTTGTTAAAATTAAATGTTCAAACAAATCTTGGTTGGATTTCCAAATAAAGTGGCGCTCGAGTACATGCAGCGCCATCTTCGACCGAACAAACTCGCATGCTCTGTAGTCGCATATCTACAAGTTCTTTTTGCATATCTATGGTTTATGCCTGTCTGTGGGATGTCATCATGGCATAAATTCATTTTCTCATCGGAGTTACTTGAAGAAGCATCGTGGAATACAGAGGCCCCCTTACCAATTGCTGCCTGGAGGATAATTTGGTATGTTGTAATTGTGCTAAATAGATTTCGCTTTACGGATTCGCTCGGATTTCATTTCGTGTTCGACAGTATTGCGTCATACTTTAAACATGACATGTGCTACAATTTATATATTATATATTTGCTCAAGTCGTATTAGTGCCATAGACGCACACCGTAAATATTCCATTTTATAATGTCTATTGTTAAATAAAACAATTTTGTTGACTAAGCAAGATCTTCCAATCGCAAGGCTATTCGACGTTGTGCAATATATTCGAAAAGTGATTGTGATTTGTGAATATGTTGGACTCGGTTATAAGACTTCCGGGAATAATTTTTTTTATTCACTATTGTTTATACAAATATAAAATACTGTTTTTCAAAGTTTTTCGTCACACAAAGTGAAAGTAAATCTGAACTGCTACTTTATGAACATTTATCGAGAGACTTAATCAGTTTGTGAGTTGTATATATAGTTTAATTTTAAGTGTTATTTAAATCATTAGTATGTGCTAACTCATTTCAATTTATAGATCAGAAGAATTGCATATGTTGGAGCACAATCTTTATGTTATCAAGAATTTTGAAGAACGGCTTTGTGCTCATACACTATTTTATTCATTTACTAGAAGGAAATGACACAGAATAGTTCTTAGAATTTGATTGAAAATGAAGATGCAGATAAAGACTATTTTGTGCTTCTCTGGAGCAACTGCATAGTTCACGAAAGCAGCTTTGGTGACGTATCAACATTAGATAATATATCTGAGATGTTCATTATAATTTAATACTAACTTCTGTATTTTATAGGTGCATGTACGTTTGAATTTGTGGCATTTTGTGCAGAGTCTTTCAGTTTTTGTCACTGTAATGCAGTAATTGTGGTCTTTCTGGAATTGCATTTGGTATGAATGCATTTGTTGAACAGTGAATTTACCCAAGATTTCATTAATTGATACTTTTAGTTTTTGCTTTATCTTTTACAAATTTACGAAATCATTAAAGCATTGGCTTTTATGAATCAAATGACCATTTGCATGATTTGCATTCTTAGTTCTCATATCTAATAATACTAACAAATACTAACAACTACTAATCCATTCTACTACTAAAATATAATGTGGTCGTTTGAATCTTTTAAGTCTATGCAATGTGGATTTGAAGTATTACATTACATTTCTGTTTCGAATTCATCTTAACGCATTTCATATAAAACCAAGTGCAATTATTAAACTGCTAGTAAATTCACAGAACTATATTTCTGGGCATCGAGATGAAATCACATGAAAACCACAACGTATCATATCAAACAAATTGTTGAGTATCGAAGGGCCAAGTAATACCGAGTGAAAATTCAGTTTACATTTATTTTATTGATCCATTTTATTTTATATTTATATTGTATTTAGATACTTTATTCTTTAATAGATCTACTGATTTGTAACCTCATAATTTGTTTTTTAGGCATACATGATCGGACACTGTGATTATTACACACCGGTCAACTGGAATGATACGATTAAAATATTTGGAAAGCATCCAAAGTATGAATAACTTAGAGATTTATCAAACAATGGCATTTTTAAGACCACAGAAACTCCTTGAGGACTTATGAATAAAACCTCTTCGAAGGGGACTAAGAAGTAAGTTCAAGTAAATGTCTAAAAATCAATATTTAGCTTATCATTATTTTCATATGCTGTCAATTTTTTATTTTATTTCATTTTTTTATGAAATTTTTATCATTGAAAATTCAAACTTTATACAGAGCCTATCACGATGGATTGTTTGGTAACGCATGAACACTTTTATGAAATCTCTAGGCAACATCAATGATAACATTTCTAATTTTTTTTTTATTTCAGATCCTGGTTCAACGGCCAATTCAAAAATGCAAGAATATTCATTGACTACTTTACTAGAAATCTCTCTAGAAACATTACATCAGGTGTATGTTTATCCATAACCAGTATAAATGCAAACATTGCTAAAATATTTTTTTTCTCAGATCCTTTCAACTTCTGCTG